CCTCCTACACCCCTCGCCTGCGGGTGGCAGGAGGTGTTCTGATCAGGGTCCAGCCCTGTGATGTCCTCATAAGCTGCAAAATGGCAAGGTTAAAATTCTTCATTCCTTCTTCATGTATTATCTGGAATTCATCTATAAAGAAAAATGTTCCCACATCTATTCTTTAGTTATCTTGATCTAGAGTTCCAACAAGCAAAGCAGTAAACATTTACTTCTTTCTTTTCATTTGTCAAATTTCAGAAGGCTGAGTTATCCATTAGCAGCCTCCATAGGTGATTGAAAGTTTTTAAGTATCATTACCTATTTGTTAATGTTTATATATTTTTGTTTGATATGTTTCAATAAATGACACTCATTCTTTCTTTATTGATGCACAAATCAATGTCCCTTCTAGTCCCTGTTTTTAACAGCATCAACAACAAAATTGTAGGCTTTGAGCCCAGGGTAAATGAGAATATCCAGCCAGAATTTATAATAGTTAGGTTGTTTTGTTTTCTATCTATCACAACTAATATTGATTTTATTGTAATGATGGTGACATAAGGTTTCTTTTAAAGATTTTTTTTTTTTTGAGACTGAATCTTGCTCTGTTGCCCAGGCTGGAGTGCAGTGGTGCAATCTCGGGGCTCACTGCAACCTCTGCCTCTCGGGTTCAAGCAATTCTCCTGCCTCAGCCTTCCGAGTAGCTGGGCCTAGAGGTGCACGCCACCACACCTGGCTAATTTTTTGTATTTTTAGTAGAGACAGGGTTTCACCATGTTTGCCAGACTGGTCTCGAGCTCCTGACCTCGTGATTCACCCGCCTCGGCCTCCCAAAGTGTTGGGATTACAGGCATGAGCCACTGCACCTGGCCTCTTTTAATGATTTAAAGAAAAATGTTCATCATCCTCAACAAAGACTAACAACCCGAATCCAGCAACATATAAAAAGGATTACACACCATGACTGAGTATGAGACCAGGAATGCAAAGTTGGTTTAACATCCAAAAGTTAATTAATGTAACACATAATAACAGAATCGAGGGAAAAAAAAACCCACATCATCATCTCAATAGATGTACAAAAAGCATTTAACCAAATCAGACACGCTTTCATGATGAAGACAGTGAAGGAGCTAGGACTAGAAGGGAACCTCCTTAACCCAAGAAGGGGTGTGTACAAAGATCCACAGCAAACTTCATACTCAATGGAGAAAGACTGAAGGCTTTCCCCTAAGATCGAGATCAGGAGCAAGATAAGGCTGTCGGTTTTGTCACTTCAGGAGGGGCTAGCAGGGCACTTACGCAAGAAAATGAAAAGATGTGACAGGAAGAAGTAAAACTATGTCTAATCACTGATAACACTTTTTTTTTTTTTTTTTCCTGAGACAGTCTCACTCTGTCACCCAGGCTGGAGCGCAGTAGCATAGTCTTGGGTCACTGCAACTTCCACCTCCCGGGTTCAAGCGATTCTTCTGCCTCAGTCTTCCAAGTAGCTGGGACTACAGGCTTGAGCCACCATGCCTGGCTAATTTTTTTTTATATTTTTAGTAGAGATAGGATTTCACTATGTTGGCCAGACTGGTCTCGAACTCCTGACCTCATGATCCGCCCACCTCAGCCTCCCAAAGTGCTGGGATTATAGGTGTGAGCCACCGTGCCCAGCGAACATGATCTTATATATAGAAAATACTTATATATATATATATATATATATATATATATATATATATATATTTAGAGAGGGGGTCTCGCTATGTTGCCCAGGCTGGAGTGCAGTGGCTATTCACAGGCGTGATCCCACTACTGATCAGCACGTGAGTTTTGACCTGCTCCATTTCCGACCTGGGTCAGTTCACCCCTCCTTAGGCAACCTGGTGGTTCCCTGCTCCTGGGAGGTCACCATATTGATGCTGAACTTAGTGCAGACACCCGATCGGTATAGCGCACTACAGGCCAGAACTCCTGGGTTCAAGGGATCTTCCCACTTCAGCCTCCTGATTAGCTGGGACTACAGGCACGCACCACCGCACCTGGCATACATAGAAAATACTAAGAAATCCACTGAAAAACTATTAGAACTAAAAAAATGAGATCTGTAACTTTAAAGGATATAAGATCAACTAAAAAAATATCAGTTATATTTTTGGCCAGGAAAGATGGTTCATGCCTGTAATCCCAGCTCTTTGGGAGGTGAAGGTAGGAGGACGTCTTAAGGCCAGGAGTTCAAGGTTACAGCTAGATCATGCCACTGCACTCCAGCCTGAGCAACAGAATGAGACCCCATCTCAAACGAATAAATAGAAATAAAACAATAAACGAAAATAAAAATCAGTTGTGTTTTTATACATTTGCAATGAATAATCTAAGAATGAAATTAAAATTATTCCATTTACAACAGCATCAGCAAGAATGGAATTATTTGGAAATAAATGTAACAAAAGAAATGCAAAACTTATACTCTGAAAACATAAAACATGGTTGAAAAAATTAAGGAATATCTAAATAAGTAGAAAGACATCTCATGTGCACAGAAGAGGTAACAGTGTTAAGGTGGCAGTACTCCCCAAATCAATATATAGATTTAACACAATTCCTACCAAAATCCCAGCTGGCTTCTTTGTATAAATTGGTAATGTTTGCCAGGCACGGTGGCTCATGCCTATAATCCCAGCACTTTGGGAGGCCAAGGCGGGCAGATCACTTGAGCCAGGAGTTCAAGACCATCCTGGGGAACATGGTGAAACCCTGTCTCTACTCAAAATACAAAAAATTGGCCAGGCGTGGTGGCTCACGCCCGTAGTCCCAGCACTTTGGGAGGCCAGGCTGCTCTTGAACTCCTGACCTCAGGTGATTCACCCACCTCGGCCTCCCAAAGTGCTAGGATTATAGGCGTGAGCCACCGTGCCCGGCCTAAAATAATTTCTAAATAAATTTTGTTTTTCAATCTCAGGGTCCTAGTTGTGCACTGCTTATGATCCACTGCACGGAAGTTCTGATTTATTTTCTGTGCAGTGGTTATGCAGGTCTTTCTGCCTCCCACAGGTCCTGGTGAGTGGGCATCAAAGGCTCGTCAGGGCTCTGTGGAGGCTCAGGGAGGAGCTTTCACTTCCATCCTGATGCTGGTGCCTCCAGAGCTAGATGGGAGGACGGTGGCGGGGTGGACTGAGCCAGGGTGGGGGCTTAGCTGGCCCTTCTGTCAGTTTGAGCTGGCTTGAGCCTAGACAGGGCCCTGACAGCCTGGGTGGGCTCAGAGGGAGGGAGGTGGGGACCAAGAGACCCGGGGAGTGCTCCCAGGGCCAAGACCCAAGTTCCTGCCCTGCACATCTGCCCAGGAACTTCCTCAGAAGCTGCTGATGTCAGGCTTTGGCTTCCTGCTGCGGGCTGAGGAGATGAACTCCGATGGGAGGACATTCAGGCCTTGTAGGAAATGAGAGCTCAGCAGACAGGAGAGCCTGGACTCATGCAAAGACACGTGGATGCCAACACGCACAAACACATGGATGTGTGACAGGCGACCAAGAAGCATGCAGATCTGTATGTATGGTGCACACAGACACACTGGGCACAGCCCACTGGCACCAATGTCAACCCCTGCATGGTGGCCTGCATCCCACCCTTCAGGTAGGCCCCACGAGGCAGAGCAGAGGGCCTGCAGTTAGGGCAGGTTCCAGGGAGGGAGGCTGAGTGGGGAGAGAGAGCCAGAGCATGCAGCCACCGTCACTCCCTGGCACTGCATCTCTGTGTCCATGCATCTAGGATGCACTCCTCCATCGAGCCCCAAGAAGACTGTCACACCTTGGTCTAAAGCAGGGACCCAGCCTGAGCCCTGACCCCTGCCCTGGAGCTCACAGAGGCCCTAGCTGGGGCGTATCAGATTTCCAGGGGCGGGCCAATGATCAGGGAAGGAGGGATTCTGGGAGAGCCAGGTAGGCCCTGAGCCTCAGGCTGACGCTGGGCTTGGGGCAGCAAGCAAGGACCAGGGGCAAGGGCAGAGCCACGTGGGCAGAGCCACGTGGCCAGACCCCCGCAGCATGGCCAGTGCCTGCATATGGGCTCCTCCAGCTCCTGTCTGTGCCTCTGGTCAGTCTGGGCTTTGCCACTTCTGCCCAAAAACCACTGCAAACCTGCCCGAGCCAAAAGAGGAAGTGGCCATTAGGCACAACTGGGAAAGCTTGTTGGGGGAGGGGGTCCAGGTGGGGCGAGCTGGGTGGCTGGGGCTCCAGGCGGGGTGAGGAGGGTGGCCGGGGGTGCTCCAGGCGGGGTGAGGAGAGTGGCCGGGGGTGCTCCAGGCGGGGTGAGGAGGGTGGCCTGGGGGGTCCATGAGACACAGTCCTCAGGTGCTGCCTCTCCTCTCAGTCTGACCCTGCGTGGGCTCCGTCCTCCTCAGCGTGGCCCACGGTAGTCCCCCTCCTCACTCTGAGTTTCCCATCCCAAAGTTCTTTTTTTTTTTCCTGCTCACACCAGTGATCTCCACACCTTAGGAGTCCTGTCCCAAAGTTCCAAGGAAGTTTCCAGAACTGTGTCTCACCATACCATCTTGAGTCAGCCTTGGCTCAATGTCCATCTCACAGGCCTGGAAGGGGCAGGAGTCAGCCTGTCTAGACCACAGAGCCTACGATGTGGGGAGGGCTTCGGTCTTAGGAAGGTATTGGCGGGTTGTTACCCTGAGGCAAGAGGGCTTTAGGGCAGAAAGACACGGCAGGTGACTGTGTGGGACTAGAAGCACAGGATAGGCCTGGGACAGGATTGGCCCATGAGGGCTGACCCTCCCTGCCAGCCAGGAGGCCTTGGACAGGCTCCCTGGCAGGATGGCCCTTGTGCATGGAGCCCCTGTGACTCACTGAGGCTGGCAGGCATCAGGTTTCCTGAAGGAGAAAAAGCTTGGTGGGGCCCAGTGTGGCTGGGATTCACTTGGACTCTATTTTAAAGGCAAAGGTAGCTGGGAACGGCTTCTGCAGAGGAGGGTGCAGTGGGGGTTGCCAGGAACAGCCTGGCTCGGGGAAGGAAACAGATAAGGTGGGTGGGGGAGTCGGCCTTGAGCCTGGGACTGGCTCCAGCATGACATGGGGGTCCGCAGGGCCTGCTGGGACCTGCTGAGCATGCAGGGCCCTGGAGAAAGTGGGGCAATGCAGCAGGGGGCACACCCACAGCTGGAACCGACCCAGATAGACAACTTGGGCTCTGCCAGATGGGGCTAGGCAAGGAAGGGGCAGGAAGTGGTGAGGCGGTCCCCAGCTGGCTGCTGTCCCCTGCTCAGGCTTTGGTTTCCTCCCTGCCGGCCTGGCCTGGCTCCCTGTGGTATGGTCATGCCCCACGCACCCCCTCCACTGAGACGGGGCGGGGAGATACCCAGGCTGCTCTTTCTTCCTCTTCTGAGTCGATCTCTGAGCAGCAGTCAGGGCTAAGCGCTCCCCAGCTCGCCTTTATATACAGCCTGTGCCACTGCAGCCACCAGCACCATGAAAGACGAGGTGGCTCTTCTGGCCACCGTCACCCTCCTGGGAGTCCTGTTGCAAGGTGGGCTGGCTCCTATCTAGGAAGAGGGTGGGCCTCAGATCCCGGCAGCCTGCCCCCTAGGCCCAGGGGGAGGGCAGAGGTGGGGACTACAGCCCAAGCCCAAGCTGGAGGAGAGTGGGGACTTTTGGGGATGTGGGGTACACTCAGCTGTGAGAGCTGTAGGACTTGGGGGTGGAAGGGTGCCAGCACAAATAGTGGGATAGCCATAGGCTTGGGGAAGTTGATCCTTGCTCTTTCCAGCTGTCCCCTCTCTGGGCATCCAAGAAAGGGGCTCCCATTCCCTGGCCTTGCTTCAAAGGCACCTCCATACTGGGACCACGTGGAGCAGGGCAGGGGTGGGACTCCTTCCTCCTGCGCCCTAAAATGAACCTGCTTGATGCCTTTCTCAACCTGGCTCTAGAGGACACATTCCTGGACCAGATATCCTTGCCACTTAGGGACACCACTGCCCCGCAGTGTGTGGGCTAGGATAAGGCAAAGCCTAGGGAGGGGGCTCTGAAGGGGCTGAACAGACAGGCCAGCCTGACCTCCAGCTGTACCTGCACTGAGCTGGACGGCCACCCTGTGACACCCATCTGCAGGGAGCCCAGCACCAAAGGTGCCAGCACTCAAGGGGAGATGGTCAGACAGCAGGTCTCGGGAGGGAGTGCACAGCCACCACTGGTCTGTGTGTGGTCCGGCCTGGCCTTCTGACTGAGGGGAGGGCTCCTGTTCAGGTAATCCACCAACCTAGGCCACCCACCGAGGGCCAGCCCAGTCCTCTGCACCTACCCCAGTCCTGGGGTCCTGAGGTTAGGCTAGGAGAGTCCCAGCTGCAACCTCCTGGCAGCAGAAGAGAGGGTGTCTGTTAGGCCTGGGACCAGAATGCAGGAATAGAGAAAGTGAGGTTCGGAAGCACAGGGACCCAGGCTTTGGTGATCCTGGACTGAGGCAGGGTCAGAGGGCCCTGCTGGTGGGCTCTGGTAGGTGGGTGACCAGGGACTGTTAGCCACAGGGACTGTGCTTCCTTGCACCTTGGGAAGATACAGCCAGTTCTGCAATCAGGCCCCAGAGGCACTTCCTGGCCAGGGACCTGAAAGCTGTATTTGCCTGTGTTTTGCGAGTGAAATGATTCAGAAACAAAGGCTCAAGTGGGCTCTCTCGCGAGCAGGTGTCCCTGTGCCCGAATCACCCATCCTCCCCCATACACTCACAGGTTGGGACAGAGCCTCTCTGCGCCCCAGGCTTCAGCTCTGCCCTTCCCGCTGAAAGTCAGGGACACAGGGCAGGCCAGGGATGGGTCAGACGGGAGATCTCCTCGGGAGACAGCGGGTAGTTGTTCCGCCTTAGGGAAGGGAGGACACCGCCAAGTGCAGGGCGGGATTGCAGGATCCCTCCTACCTCCATCTCCAGATGTCCAGACCTGACTTCTGCTCCCCCTCCGCCCCCAGCCTATTTCTCTCTACAGGTGATCTCGGCGCGGAGGGCCTTCCGTGTGTCGCCGCCGCTCACCACCGGCCCACCCGAGTTCGAGCGCGTCTACCGAGCACAGTGAGGCGCGGAGGGAGGGCGCGGGGCGAGGAGCGAGCCCCGGGCGGGTCCAGGTCGCAGGACCAGCCTGGCCAGGGCGCTCATCCCACCCGCCCACCGCAGGGTGAATTGCAGCGAGTACTTCCCGCTGTTCCTCGCCACGCTTTGGGTCGCCGGCATCTTTTTTCACGAAGGTCGGGGTGTGGGGCAGGGGCGCACGCGTTGGAGCCCCTCGCGCCCGCGCCGCGCGCTCACCAGGCCCGCGCGCACCTCTCGCAGGGGCGGCGGCCCTGTGCGGCCTGATCTACCTGTTCGCGCGCCTCCGCTACTTCCAGGGCTATGCGCGCTCCGCGCAGCTCAGGTGAGGGCCCGGGGGGAGCGAGGCGGGGCCGGGGAAAGACCGCGGGTAGGCGGGGCTCCCGGGGAGCGGGGCCCAAGCTGGGGGCGGGCTACGGGCCAGGGGCCACCGCCTTTCGGGATTCGGCTGGCGAGCCGGGGCGGCGGCCGGCCTAAGTCCCCGTGGGGCTGGGGTTGGGGTGGTCAAGAGGCGGGGCCTCCTCGCGCCACCGCCCCGCTGACCGCCGCCCGCAGGCTGGCCCCGCTGTACGCGAGCGCGCGCGCCCTCTGGTTGCTGGTGGCGCTGGCTGCGCTCGGCTTGCTCTCCCACTTCCTCCCGGCGGCGCTGTGCGCCGCGCTCCTCGAACGGCTCCGGACGCTGCTGCCGTGGGCCTGAGACCAAGGCCGCCGGAGCCGGGAAAGAAGAGCCGGAGCCTCCAGCTACCCCGGGGAGGGGCGCTTGCCTCCGCTTCCTAGTCTCTCATTAAAGTTCTCGTGACCCAGCCACCTGCTGCGTTCTCTGGTTTGTGGGGGCGGCGCACTGCGGGGAAGCCTGGAGTGGCCCAGCCCAAGGCCAGGGCATCCCGACGTTCTTCCTAGAGGCGGCGTGGGAGGGACTGCGAAGGAACTGGACCTCCCCTTGGAGCCAGACTGAATCCGGTCTTAACTTCCCACCCCTACTCCCTACTCAGCCTCGGGGTCACAAGGCCTACCATTCCAACCTCCTCAGCGCTCTCCTCACCGGTCCCCCTCCTCAGGGGCCTCCCGTCTCCTGACGCTCAGCCACCCAGCCCTCGTCCCCTGGCCTTCACAGCTGACACTAGAGCTTGTGGGTCTCTCCCCAGGTGAAGACAGGGGCCTTTTCCTTTTGGTCAGCACTGGGTTCCCCGTGTTAATCGTAGGTGTTCAGGGCAGCCCTTCCAGGTCCGCAGAGTTGCGGGCACCATGGGAACATAGTGAGTGACAGGTGTTCTCAAGGAAATGTCCAGAAGCCTTGGGGACCCAGGGAAGGCCCACCGAAACAAAGAAGTGATTTTTAGCCAAGCCTGCAGGAGAAAAGAAGGAGAGCTTTCCAAGCAGGGGCAGTGGTGTGTGCAAAGGCCCTGAGGTGAGCAGGAGACCCTAACATGTGCCACAGAGACTGTTGGGGACCCAGGATGAGGACCAAGCTGAGACACACATAGGGGAACAAGGAGACTGGGAAATGCCTTCAGCTTGAGGCACTAAGGGACGGCCTTATCCCAGGCCTTGGACATGGGGGAGGAGGCATTTGGGGGACTTGCATCGGCATTGAAGTCCAGGATTCTAGGCTGGTTTCACTCGTGAATTACTGACTTTGCAGCCTGATCCTAGAAATGGGGGTGAGATGGCACTGCAGCTGCACAGCCAGGTGCTGGGCCCCACGCCTGCAGGTCAGGCTGGCTCCTTTCCTTAGCAGGGAGAGGTCGCAGTTGGTGCTGGGTGGGGAGGCCCAGTGCCAGGCTTAGCTGGCATGTTGGGGCACAGACCAGACATCTGAAGCCAAGCGCAGGGGCAGAGGAGATGTCCAGGGAGCTCACATTTGAGGCACACACTTCATTAACTCTTTATTACAAGTCACGCTCTTATAGAAGTATACGTGGACTTATGTGAAAAAATCAAATGTATCCAAGAATAAAAAACACAGCACATAAAGTAGTATATGCATTCCAGTGTTCGCGCCAGAGACAGCGGGCGCCCAAGAAAAAGCTCTTCTAAAACGACCCGGCTGGGGCAGGCCGGTGCAAACGGTTCCAGGCCTCAGGCACAGTGTGGGGGCCGCCTGCCTCCTCTGCGGCCTGGCGGGCGGGGACAGCACCAGCTCCTGGGGCCTCCGGGCCAGCGGCGGACCCCAGGCCGGCCCGAGCCTGGCGCCGGGCAGAACCCTTCAGGTAGAGCCATATCTGACCCTCCGGGGACGGCAGTGATGACATCCCCCAGAAACATGGGCTTCAGGGCTGGCCACAGGGTACCCTCAGAAGCCCTCGGCTTAGTCTGCCTTTTTCAGGAAGATCTGGAAGAGCCAGGCCCAGGGTCAGCAGGGCCTCTGAGCTCCGCCAAGGTTTCCCTCGCTGCTTCCCATGCCTGGCCTGGCCCTGCTCAGCCTCACCTCGCTCAGAATCACCCATACAGGGGAGTCCGTCTGGATGGAGAGGCGCAGAGCTTCCAGAGGGCCGAAGGCTGGGTCCACCTCTCCCTCTGCCACTCCCTTGTAGAAGGAGCCTGGGGGAGGGCAGTGCTGAGAGGGTGTCCCTGAACCCCAGCCCACGCTCTCCCCCAGCCCCTACCCACCAATCTGGAGGTAGCCATCAGGGCTCCGAGGGTACCGGAGGGTGGCGGCGCGGCCCTCCTGCAGGGCCTCCTTGTCCGACTGAGGGTTCTGGGGGCAGAATCAAGGGCTGAAGCAGGTGGCCTCGGGAGGCCTGGCCTCGGTGCACACCATACCCTACCACACTTACATCAAAGGGCAGCACCTCCACAGACGTGTTGAAGAGCTTGTCCTCTGGGTGCTCAATGTTCCCACTGCGGAAGAAAAACCTGCAGCCAGGCAGGCCTGTGAGCTGCTGCAGGAGCGGCGCTCTAGCACAGCACGCAGGGCCCAGCAGAGAAAGGCCAGGCCTGCGCCAGAGGGACTCCCAGGTGACTGTCAGGCTGTGCGAGGTTGACTAGGGCCTTCCTCTGGGAGGATGGTGACAGGAAACATACCTGAGCTCCTAGGGGCTGCCTAACTTAGTCCTTACAAGGTAGCTACCGTTAGGAGGCCCACTTTTCAGATGAGGAAACTGAAGAATGTGAGGATAAGTAATTTGCTGGTAGAGCCTAAACCCTGGTGGCCACCCAACCCCACCCCCATTGCAGACCCAGGGTGCTGGCACTGACCGCTCCAGTCGCAGGGGCTGGAAGAAGCGGAAGCGGATGAAGTCCCCCGCGGCAGGGGTAAAGGCCCAGAAGAAGTCCTCGCGCAGGTAGGCTTTCTCCAGGGTGAAGTGCTGGTATGTCTTCAGGCTTGTGCTCACCTCTGCTGGTGGGTTCACATGTTCCTTCCGCAGTGCCTGCTTCCCAAAGTCCTTGTCCTACAGCAGTGGAGGGACAGCAGTGATGGCGTGGGCCCCAACCCGGACCCTGGCCTAGGGGGAGCATGCAGCGCAGCCCACCTTCAGTTTCTGGATCTTGCCAGCCAGTGAGGAGTGAGTACCCACGTGCTGAAAGAGGGACGGCTTGAAGCGGATCCGCAGGTTGGCCTTCTGCCGGTCACAGTGCTTCTGTGGAGGGTGGGAGACACCCCAGGGCTTGGCTTAGCTCTCCTTACCCAACATGGCCTCTCCTGGGGGACACCAAGGCCCTCCCACAGCTGACAGTGCCCTCTCTAAATGATCAGACACGACAGGGACACAGTCTGTGCTGGAGGCTGCCTGCCCATTGGCCTTGCCCCTACCAGTCCCACCACCCCTTGCTCACCGCATCCTTCTCGGGGTTGCAGACTTTCACCCACAGAATATGGTCCAGGAGCCAGTCGATGGGCTTGTCCCGGTAGAACATGAGGATGAACTCTACAATCAGGCTCAGGTCTAGCGACTTGAACATCTTCCCTGGTGGGGAGGGGACCTGAGTGGGCAGTGCTGCTCCACTGGACTTCCTCTTACCCCCTGCAGGACCATTCCCCCCTCACCCCGGAGAGTCCCACAGTAAACCCAGGGGCAGGCTTCAGGCAGGTGTGGGCACAAGGAGACAGACAGGTGGTCACGCCAGACATGCCCAGTGCACAGGCAATGAGAACAGGCCAGGTGGGGCTGCGGCGCACACACACCAGGCAGGGCCCAATCTGGGCAAAGGCTCACAGCAGACACAGCGTGGAACTGGGAGAGAGGATGGCAGAGGCAGGAGGGACAGAAAGGCACAGTCAGGTTAGGGGAGGGGGCACACCAATGAAGCCCAGCTGGGAGAACTCCAGGATCATCCAGTCCTCTGAAGGCTGCTGCAGTGCGAAGTTCTTCATGGTGCTCAGGTAGTTGGGCTTGGCCACAATGTCATCCTCTAGCTGCAGGGTGAGCAGAGAGGGGCTGTGACTCAGGAGGGGTACCCAGATGGACCAGACCCAGAGCAGGGGAGGGCAGCGCAGGGATCGGGGCTGACCTGCACATAGTAGATGCCTTTGGACTGCGCGTACATCATGAGGAAGCAGTAATCGAGGTTCTGTTTGGTCCTCCACCTGTGGGCCGGGGCAGGGCCTCAGGAGCTGAGACCCCTCCACCTCCAGTGCGGCTCCGCAGAGAAGCCACTGGGTGGGCAGCCCTTGTCCCCCCACCCCCATGCACGGGTCATCCCATGGAGAATTCAGGGCACCGCAGGGCAACGCCCTGGACTCAGACATCAGTAGATCGGTTCTCAGCACAGGTGGGCAGGTTGCTGGGGGTATGGGGGAGTGCCAGTACCTGACTCTTTCCTTGGGGTCCCCAAAGGACTCTCGGAGGCGGGAGAAGTCAGGGTAGAAGTGGGGAGAGGGTGAGATGACCTCCAGGAGCCCGGAATGGATCTCGGTGGGGAACCTGGGGGATGGGAATTCCCAGTCCGTATGCAGCCTCCAGAGGCCGAGGGGGGCTGAGTCCACCAGACCCTGGCCCGTTCTTGAGACTCACGCAGTGCCAGCCCCCCACCATCCCCCACACCCAGCCAACTGAGACAGCGGGGCTCCAGAGGGCTGGGCCACTTCTGCACATCCACCCTCTACCCGACCAGGTCCTTGCCTCCCCACAAGATAGGGAAGGCACTATCTTCTGGGGAAGCAGGAACCTGCCAGAACAACACCCCTCGAAGAGCCCTCCCACCACTAGCTCTCTGGGGCTGCCAGTACTCACAAGGCCTTGATATTCTCTGTCACTGCCGAAGTGTACTGTGGGTCAGTCTGTAGGGAGACCAAGCACCCTCCCTTAGCCCTGCTGCTGCCCCAATAGGCCTGGAAGAAGGGCTTAGAGAAAGGGCGCAGGCTTCAGATATCCCCCCACTCACATGGAGGGAGCAAGCCTGCTGTGCTGAGGGCGGAAGATGGGGGCCCCTAGAGACAGCCCTTTCCCTTTGGAACATGCAGGGCACAAAGGGAAATGTTTCTATCTTGGAACATTGGCCAATGAAACTAGCAGCTGAACTTCCTACAGCTTTCTCCTCTGGAATGGCTCCTGCTGTCATTTCTCCTGCACCACAGGGGCTCCTCTGAACGTCCCCCAACCCTGCGACCAGGCTCACTCACCTCAGCAATCAGCACCACAATGACCGAGTCCTCCTTCTCCTGCGGGCTTAGCTCGAAGATGAGTGAGTGCAGAGTGTCAGTCAGGTACGAGTGCACCTCGCGCCGCACGCTGGGGATGCCCATCACCACCGACACTATGGGGGACAGAGGTGTGACGGTGGAAAGGGCACTGGGGGGACACCTCGCCCCCCACCCCGCTCTCCTTCCCGCCCACGCCCCTACCTCCGGTGCGGCCCTGGCCCACGCGCACGGCAGGCTGCAGACTGCTCTCCTTGGCCAGCAGGTGTGGTAGGTGGTGGAAGACGGTGGGCAGGTGTAGCACCTGCCGGTGCGAGCCATTCCATGGCTTCAATCGGGGGTCCTCTGGGTGGGTCAGGAAGGATAGGGACTGAGACCAGGCAGCCTACAACCACCCGGCCCCCACCCTTTCCCCTTCCCGTCCCAGACCTCACCTGTTAGGTGGCCCCAGGTGCGATTGCCCTCTCCCTCTCGCAGCGCCTGCCTCTCCGAAACGGCCCTCTTGATCTCATCCAGCACCAGGTTGAGCTCCTTGGAGCGCTTGAGGCTCTCCTGCTCAGCTGCGTGCAACCGATCCCGCAGTGCCAGAAACTCCCGCTGGTAAACGTCCACGACTTCGCCTGCAGGTCATATGCAAGTCGTCACAAGGGGGCAGTCTAGAGCTGCTCTACAGGCCCCTTGGGTGTGCCAGGGCACACATCTGGGTGCCCATCTGTGTAACAGCTCATTTACATCTATTTCCATGCCTGCCACACGTGAGCTAGCTGTGGTCACTCTAAAGTCACACTGACACTCATGCTTGTGAGAAAACCAGGGGAATTAATCCTCTTCTAGTACTCTCCCTTACTTTTCTATCCCCAAAAGAGGCATCTGAAGTGGGAGGACAATTTGCAAACATAGGCAGGGCAATCCTAAGCAAGGGCTGGAACAGCCTCAGACTGATTCCTCTCTGTCTGTTGGCCTCCAATGCCCACTCCTGCTTTTTGCAGCACATGCTCCTTCCAGGGCATGGGATACCCAAGGTCCTGGTGCTCGTTATTCACTGTCCTCGTGGTGGTTGCTGGTTGCTAACCCTATACTGGATTCTTAGCCTTGCAGTGGACCCAGGGGGTGGCTGCTGCAGCTCCAGGAGCCCACCTCACCTCAGATGAGCAAATGAGGTTGAGAAACCAGCCCCGGGGCTGCTCAAGGACAGTCAACAGCAGTGAGGGGACTAGTTCTGAATGCCCTGGTGCCTGTGTCTCTGGAGAACTGTGCTGCACCTGGGCCACCTTGAAGGGTCCGCATGCCACCCCAGGAGGACCCATGTCAGAACCTCCAGCTGGGTCCAGGCATGAAGGCCGTAAGTGGATAGGCCCTGGCTCCACTGTTCTGGCAGGGACCAGTGAGCAAGAATGAGATCAGCAACCTCCTGGTGGCTCAGTGCCCATAGTCTATGCAGCAGTATGCTCAAGGCCTCTGCCAGGTGAGCCTCTGAGAACCTATGTGGTCTATAAGGCCTTAAATTTCCAAGTCTCTAAGTTTCAGAAGCCTGACAGAATTCCCCCTACCCCCAGGCAGCTCCTCTATTCCTTGATCCCTGGTGGGTTCACAGACCCCAGAGTTCCCTGGGATGGCTTCACCCTACCAGCAGCCCTGTGCATGATCAAAGTTCATGATCAGGCAAAGTTCAGTCACCGCAGGGCACACCCCTTTGTGAAGCAGAAGCAAAGGTCTAAGTGCCAAGTGACCAGGGAAGAGTAAGAGGTGGACCTGGGCAGGAGGGAAAGGTTTAAGGAGGAGGGAGCCAGGTAGATCTTCCCTGAGGCATCCCTTATCCAAGAAACTAGCCTCCACCCTCCCACACCCTGTCTCTCTGGGGCTAAAGGCTGAGGCCAAGTGAAGCCTCTGGACAGCCCGTGGCAGTGGGGAAGCAGGGGGAGTCCGGTTTCCGGATCTGCCAGGCTCCATGTTGAGCTACCCAGGAAACCTGACCCCTTGAATGCAGAGCCGGCTACCCCCAACACTCATCCTTTGCTGGGCAGCACCGAGGCATAGGCAGCAGTTGCCCAGAGGGATGGGACTGGAGGGGCAGAGGCCCACAGAACCATCAGGAGAGGGTTCAGAGCCACCTGTACCTGCAGGTGTGCCTCCCTCCTGCCTAGATGCCAGTCCCCGCTCGCCTACCTACAGCCACCACCCACCTCCACCCCTACCCCCCACTCTGGCCTTCTGTGTTCCACATGACTGCCCCAGGTGGACAGGCTAGGTGGGCAGTGGTGGGTGATGCTGCCTGAATCACCCTGGCAACAGCCTACTCCTTACCCTGGCTTCCTTCCTAGAGGCCTCCCCTCTCCCCCAGGTCCTGTTTAACAGGAGGTGAAGGGCCCCATGGGCTCCCATCTACACCAACCCTTCTGTCATTTCCCTGTGTACTGCAGGCCCTGGCCCTGGGCAGCCTCCCCCACCTTGCCCTCATCCCCAGCTTCTCTGTGGGTCCAACTCTGTGACTGCCTCTCCATGGGCCAGACCCCATACCAGGGCTCTGCCAAGCCATGCTGGTACCCTATAACATTCAGGGGCTGGAGAGGCAGCTCAGGTGAGAGGGGCCAGCCTGGGAGCCCCTGCCATAACCTTTCTGCCCCAGAGAGTAGGAAGGTGTGAAGGAGCTGGACCCAGAAGGGCTGGAACAGCAGGCCACAATGTTAAGAGCAGCAGCAATGAGGCCTGGAGGCTGTCTCACTCTCCCCTGGAGGCAAGTCATTAGGACACCCTGAGGCCAGCAAACCATAGTTTCCCCTGCTTCCCTCTTGGTTGGGGAAAGATTAAAGAGCAAAAATGGGGCACAACCTTTGTGTCCTGTACTTAGGGAAAAGGAACCGGCTCAGAGGGGCATAGGCAGATGTCAGGCCCGTTAAGGGTCTGCTGTCACCATTCATGGGGTGGCAGGTGTCTGCCTCTTCTCCAGACCTTGCAACCTCCTTGCGAGTCGAGGAGGGTGTCCGTGATTGCTCAGGTCCAGGCCTGGGGAGGGGGACAGCCTGAAGGCTGGGAGTGCTGTGTGGCTGAAACCCTGAGTCACCCCCAAGGGACTGCCTCCTTGGGCAAGATCCTGAGCAGGTGCTTGGCCAAGAGCCACAGTTTGAGTGCTGGCAGAGCTGCTTCACTGGCTAGATATGAAATTGGGCCCAAACCCTTCTCCAGGGTCCATCTTGCCTTGGTCTAATAGGCTTTCCTGGGCTTGACCCTGGAAAGCCCCACTGAGCCCCACCACTGCTTCCAGGATGCCACCCTCATCTGCTGTCCTTCCTCTCTGGCTTCCGGCCCACCTCCTTCCTTCCCTGCAGATTCCATTTCCTGGGTCCTTCCCTCAAGTTCCTGGACCCCCTCTGGCTGCAAACTAGAGGCCAGGTTCCAATATGGCCTCAGACCAGCTAAGTCTGGCTTCACCAGGGCTTAAGACAGATTGTTGACCTGTGACAATGAGATGGGTTCACATAATAGCCTGGACTCCTAGCTTTTCTTGCGGCCTCCAAAGAACTGGTCCTACTGGGTCACCACAGAAACATGTGACAGCTCCTCGACAAGGCAGGCCAAAGTCACCCCCCTACACATGCCTCATGGGATTCTTAGGCTTCCATCCCCAAGGGACTGGGCCCCTTGCATCTAAATGTTCCCCTTCTTTGGCTAGGATGCTCTCCTGCCCCTCAGGTACAGTGGGTCCCATGGAGCCAGTGCCTCTCCCTCCCTCTGGTGTCCTGGAGACTGGGTCCCTGTGGTGAGCTAGGCTTGCAGAGGTGCCTCCTGACACCAACTGGGGGGCATGCAGCTGCTGTGGGAGGCACACACTGGCTGAAGACAAGGGCCGAGGGCTCATGGCTCTCCCCACAACTTGAAGTGTGCCCCAGCCCTTCAGATAGGCCCCACCTAGGCCTTCCTGCCAGTCTGCTTTTGTGGCCACCCTGCCAAGGGCCCAGAAGGTCTTTCCCCAGGTGACACACCCTACCTACAGAGAACTCTGCCCTAGCCATGTCCTCCCTTGATAATATACCCCACCACCGGGACCTCTGCCCCAGCCATCCCTCCCCTGTGCCAGGCAGGCTCCCTGCAGAGTCCCTGGGTGATGCCTTTCAGGTCCTGGAGCCCCAACGCCAGCCCAGGCCGCTGCCCTGACAGAAATAGTGCGGCAGGGGGGAGCGCTGGCAGAGCTCGGTGCGGGTGGCAGGGGCTCGGAGGGTCCAGAAAGCTGCAGGTCCCCGCTCCCGCCCTCCTCCCCAGCCTCTCTGGGGTGGCTCTCCGGGACAGGGGAACAGGGAAGCAGGTGGTGGGGAGGCCGAGGGGCAGCTGGCTTCGGCCCGCTTAGGCTTCCAGCAGGCGGGAGGGCAGGACGCCGCTTTCCCGGTACCTCGGGACCGAGGGAGCAGCGCCTCCGAAGGCTCAAGCCCCACTGGCCCCACCACCGCCAAGACCCGGACAGGGTGGGGATCGGTCCGCAACCTCCGCCTGCAAGAGCGCTAGGCAGACACGGAGGAAGGGGGCCAGCCAGGGAAGCGCGGGGAGCGGGCGGGGGGCCGCACAGGAGCGCAGGGCCGCTGGGGCCAGGCTGGCTCAGGACACCTCCCTGCCTCCCGCCCTGCCATAGGCCGGACGCTGCCGAGGCTTTCCGGGCGCCCAAGGGAGTCTCGGGGCCCTGTGTCACGCCGGGATCGCCCAGGCCGGCGCTGGGCAGCGGGAGGCGGATTGGGGGTGTCCTTGCGCCTGTGTCCCTTACGCCACCCCAGCTCCTGCCCAGGTGACTGTGGCTGGCGTCCCAGGACCCCCGGTCACAGCCACCTATGTGACCCTGCGTCTTTGCCCCTCTGGGAACCCCACGGGTCCCTAGCTTGCGGGTGGGAGCCACCAGTACAGCGTCGGGACAGCCGCGCCCGCTGAGGCTAGTCCGGAGCACCCACGGGCGAGGCTGGCGCTGGGCGGGCGGGCTGGCGCAGCCCGGGCCTGAGGAGGACACCGCGGCTCCAGCAGCAAACAAGTGGGGGAGGGTGGGAGGGGCGTCCTCCGCGCCGCTCGGGCGGGGAAGGGGGGCCTGCGTCGGCTTCCGGCCGCCTCCCGTGGCCACCTCCGGGCCCGCTCCCGCCGCCGACGCCCAGGTGCGCCAGGTGCGGGCCAGGCCGGCCGAGCAGGGGCCGCGCTCACCTTTCTGGCCGCTGAGCGCCGCGTACCAGGACAGCGAGAGGAAGGCGCACAGGCAGAAGAGCAGCAGCGTCAGGAAGGTGCCATTGCGGAGCCTCATCTCCTCTGGTGCGCGGCGGGCGCCCGCGGGGCCGAGGCCGCATGGCCCGGGGAACCGGGGCCGGGGCGCAGGGGCTGGGAGGCGGCAGCTGCGGGGGCCCCGGCCCCGGGGCAGGGAGGGGCGGGGGACCCGGGGCCGGGCGGGGACGCGGTTAGGCCGGGATGGGGACCGGACTGGGCAGAGCGCCTGCCGCTCCGCAGGGGCGCGGGACACTGGCGGCCTCGCCTCCGCGGCTGGGCCTTGCGGGGCCGGGCCGGGCCGGGCCGGGCTGGGCTGGGCTGGGTGGCGAGAGCCGCGGCCCGGCCTGGATCTGAGGCCTGGATCTGGGGCCGCCGCGGAGTCGACGGCGCAGGGCGGGGCGGCCCGGATTTAAAGGGGCCGCAGCAACCGCCGCTGCCTGCACCACGAGGGGGCGGGTGGCGGGGGGGACGACGCCTGGGATCCCGGCGGGCTCCCGTGGCCCTACGTGGGCTCGTGCGAGTCGGCCTCAGGTAAGGCCGGAGTGCCAGTACTGGTCGATGGCAGCGAAGCCGGGGCAGGCGGCGGGGGCGGCGCTCCCGGGACCCTCGTACCCTTCTCGGACATATCTCCACCGCAAGTCCCCTGCGCCCAGACCACAACCCCATTCGCATGTTGTCAGGGCTCTTTCCCGGGCGTGAGGGGCTCTGGGCGGCGCGGGGTACTGGGCTGTTGGAGCCGGGAGCGGCCGCTGCCTTCGCCGCCGCCCAGGGCGCTTCCCAGCTCAGGAGCATCCTCTGGGCGGCGGGACGGAGGCGCGCCGGGCCCGGGGAGGCGGGAACAATGGGCCCTTCTAGGGGGTGTCAGGGCCAGTGCTCGTGGGTGCAGAGCAGTGACCAGCCCAGAATCGCGCCGGCTTCCCGAGGCCGGGGCGCGCTCGCGCGCCGCTAACGGGAGCAACAGGCCCTGCCGCTTGTGGTGCGGCGGCCGCCGCTCCCCGCCCAGCCTGCTATTGATGGGCGCCCACGCCTTCATTCGCGTTTTTTTCTTTTTCTTTTTTTTTTGAAACCGAGTCTCGCTCTGTCGGAGTGAAGTGGCGCGATCTCCGCTCACTGCAACCTCCGCCTCCCAGATTCAAGCGATTCTCCTGCCTCTGCCTCCGGAGTAGCTGGGATTACAGGCGCACGCCACCACGCCCGGCGAATTTTATTTTTTTATTTTTTGGTGCCGTGACTCGGATAACTTTTGTATTTTTAGTAAAGACGGGGTTTCACCATAGGCCAGGCTGGTCTTGAGCTCCTGACCTCAGGTGATCCCCCTGCCTAGGCCTCCCAAAGTGCTGGGATTATAGGCGGGAGCCTCCAGGCCCGGCCCATTCGCATTCTAATTGCAGGCCTTCCCCAATCCTCTGTGGAACCAGAAGGCACAAATTCTAAAGGGATTGGCCCAGCGCTGCCTCTAGGCAGGCTTTGGGCAGTCCTGGGGGCCGGGTTCCCTGTGAAGGCTGCAGGGACCTCTTTGCCCCTCCCGCCGCTGGGAGGCCTGAAGTGGCTGGACTGGGAGTGATTGGGCTTTGTCTTGCTAGTCCAGCCCAGGCCGACACCTGGCGCTGGGTATAAGCAGGAGCTTCTGAGGGTCTGGACAGTGCCCTCACAGAGAGCTTGATGCCAGGAGGTGTGGCCCGGCCAGAGGCTGAGGTGGGCTGAATGCTGGGGCCCTGTGTTAAAGGACAGGGTTCCCCACCCTGCTCCTGGAACTTTCCAAACTAGAGACTGGGCCTTGTAGGAGCCTTCCTGAGAAAACCGATGTTTTCACAGGTGTCTTCTATTTGTGGCAAAGAATGGCTTTTCACTTAGGTTGTGACATAAAGGGCCTTAGAAATTGTTAATGAGTTACTTAACTTTAAAAGTGAGTCAGCTAGGCCAGTTGTGGTGACTCATGCCTGTAATCCCAGCATTTTGAGAGGCCGAGGCGGGAGAATCACTTGAGATCACAAGTTCCAGACCAGCCTGGGGACCATAGTGACACCTCATCTCTATAAAATTAAAAATTTTTAAGCACTTTTTTTGGATTTTTTTTTTTTTTTTTTAAGACGGAGTCTCAGTCTGTTGCCCAGCCTGGAGTGCAGTGGCATGATCAACTCACTGCAGTGTTGGCCTCCTGGGTTCAAGCGATTCTCCTGGCTCAGCCTCCCAAGTAGCTGAGATTCCAGGTGTCCCCTACTACGCCTGGCTAATTTTTGTGTTTTTAGTAGAAACCGGGTTTCACCATGTTGGCCAGGCTGGTCTTCAACTCCTGACCTCAGGTGATCCACCCACCTCAGCCTCCTGAAGTGTTGGGATTACAGGTGTGAGCCACCACACCAGGCCAATTTTTTTAAGGGAGGAAACGAGTCTGCTGGGCACTGTAGCCTACACCTGTAATCCAAGTGAGACAGCCAAGTATTAAAGGAGTCCCGGAGAAACTCCCACTGGCCTAAGTACTGGAATAACTGGGTGGAGTCACAGAAGCTCCCACCCTTTGCAGGGGAAAAGGCTGGCCTCCGGGCTGGAACCTGGGATTCAATCTGTGAGGCGTGGAAAACAGCAGGACTCTCAGTTTGATGAGAGTCCCTGGTTCCCTTTTTTTCCCTTTTTCCCCAATAAATTCCGTTTTTCTCACCCTCAAAGTGTCTGTGAACCTAATTTCTCATGGCCGTGTGACAAGGACCTGGCTTTTAGCTGAGCTAAGGAGAAAGTCCTACAACAGTTTGGCATGCAACATGGGGCTTGAGAAAGGGTGAGTGAGATGCAAACCAAGAAATTTATTTTCCTCTCTTTCTAAGCCTTTTCATCTTCGGACTTCTGAGGGGGAGGTCAGGGGAAACTGTGACCCCACCCCCGTTGTTCCCAGGGGTCGGGAAGGTCGGCCTTGGTCTCCGTGGCCTTTTCCTTCCTACTTCTGGAGGGATGGGTGAGCGGCGGGTTTTCTGTCACCCAGGCTGAAGTGCGATTGGCTTGATCTGGGCTCACTGGGTTCAAGCGATCCTCCTGCCTCAGCCTCCTCCCGAGAAGCTGGGATTACAGGCGTGCACCACCATGCTGGCTAAGTTTTGTATTTTTAGTAGAGATGGGGCTTCACCATGTTGGCCAGCTTGGTCTCTAACTCTGGACCTCAGGTGATCTGCCCACGCTGCCTCCCAAAGGGCTCGGCGTGGTCCTGCACACAGGCATTTTTGAACTTTCCTTCCTTCTCCCCACCGCGTCAGAAGTTGACTTTTAAGCAAGGATTTTTTTCTTTTTGGATGGTGTTTTGCTAGGCTGGGAACTAGGGATCACCATTTATATTTTCTGTAGAGTTTTAATTGTGAAAAAGGATTTATGGCGGGGTGCTGTGGCTCATGCCTACTGTACTGTATTCTCAGCACTTTGGGTGGCTGAGGTCTGAGTTCGAGACCAGCTTGGCCAACATGGTGAAACCCCATTTGTACTAAAAACAATACAAAAAATAGCCGGGCATGGTGGTGAGCGTTTGTAATCCCAGATACTCAGGAGGCTCAGGCAGGAGAATCGCCTGAACCCTGTGGGTGGAGGTTGCAGAGAGCTGAGATTGTGCCATTGCAGTCTGGCCTGGGCAACAAGAGAGAAACTCTGTCTCGAAAAAAAAAAAAAAGATTTATGAGGTTGGTCTTAAGCTGGTAAGCTGTAGCCAACCTGGTGTGCTTTGTCTCTTTCTGTATAGTTCCTAATAAACTGCCGCAGGCTTCCATCTTGTTTTATGTCCTTGGAGGCGTGGCATGTAACCCCCCGGCAAGGCATTCCAGCCTAGAGGACAGAGTGAAACTTGCCTAAAAAAAAAAAAAAAAAACCAGGTTATACTTATTTATTTATTTATTTATTTATTTTTTGAGACAGCGTTTCGCTCTTGTTACCCAGGCTGGAGTGCAATGGCGCGATCTCGGCTCACCGCAACCTCCGCCTCCCGGGTTCAGGCAATTTATTTATTTATTTATTTTTTGAGACAGCGTTTCGCTCTTGTTACCCAGGCTGGAGTGCAATGGCGCGATCTCGGCTCACCGCAACCTCCGCCTCCTGGGTTCAGGCAATTCTCCTGCCTCAGCCTCCTTAGTAGCTGGGATTACAGGCACGTGCCACCATGCCCAGCTAATTTTTTGTAGTTTTAGTAGAGACGGGGTTTCACCATGTTGACCAGGATGGTCTCGATCTGTTGACCTCGTGATCCACCCGCCTCGGCCTCCCATACTTATTTATTTTTTTAAGACCGAGTTTCACTCTTGTTGCTGGAGTGTACTGGCGTGATCTTGGCTCACTGCAACCTCCACTGCCCAGGTTCAAGTGATTCTTCTGCCTCAGTCTCCTGAGTAGCTGGGATTACAGGCATGCACCACCACACCCAGGTAATTTTGTATTTTAGTAGAGACGGGGTTTCTCCACATTAGTCAGATGGTCTTGAACTCCTGACTTCAGGTGATGTGCCCACATCAGCCTCCCAAAGTGCTGGGATTACAGGTGTCAGCCACTGCAGCGGACCTATTTATTTATTTATTTTTCCTCCTTTTTTTTTTTTAAGATGGGGTTTCACCATGCTGGCCAGGCTGGTCTCAAAATCCTGACCTCAGGTGATCTGCCCACCTTGGCTTCCCAAAGTGCTGGGACTACAGGTGTGAGCACCATACCCAGCCTATTTTTTTTTAAATTTTATTTATTTTTATTTTTTGAGAGGAGAGGGAGTCTCGCTCTGTCACCCAGGCTGGAGTGCAGTGGCAATCTCGGCCCACTGCAACCTCTGCCTCCCAGGTTCCAGTGATTCTCCTGCCTCAGCCTCCCGAGTAGCTGGGATTACAGGTGTCCACCACCAAGTCCAGCTAATTTTTGTATTTTTAGTGGAAATGGGTTTTACCATGTTGGCCAGGCTGGTCTCGAACTCCTGACCTCAGGTGATCCACCCGCCTTGATCTCCCAAAGTGCTGGGATTACAGGCATGAGGCACCTGGCCCAGGTTTTATGTTAAGGTTAAAATTACTAGGAGTGGCTGGGTGCAGTTGCTCACGCCTATAATCCCAGTGCTTTGGGAGACTGAGGCCAGCAGATCACCTGAAGTCAGGAGTTTGAGACCAGCCTGGCCAACATGATGAAACCCCATCTCCACTAAAAATACATAAATTAGCTGGGCTTGGTGGTGCACACCTGTATATAGTCT